CAATCACTAATGCACTCAACTAACGAAACCTGTTTTGCTGCTTTCAGATGCCAATATTTTGACTTTGCCCTCATTCCTCTCCAAGTGCCACCAGTTTGGTCCCGGCCCAGGTGTCCAGGAAGTAGGCTCCGCTCTTTCTGTCCCTATATGGCGGGATCTGCGAAAGTCCAGACGCTCCAAGACCTGGGCCGATGACGGGGCCTACGCCAGAGAATTTTAATTCCTAATAACAAATTGTAAAATCCTATCAAAGATTAAAGTTTTGTCCTCCTTCACATTTGCATCTTGAGTCTTGAGAAACTGGTAGAACACTAGAACCTAAGATAAACCCTATAGGATAAACAGCACTTAAAGCTTTCATCTTTGACAGAGAGGAGAAGATCAAACTGCTTCAGATCTAAAAACATCCACAGGAGTTTCTGCCCATCCGTCCACTGTGAGAAGACAACTCAGTGCTATGGGTCTAAAAGGATGTGTAGCTGTCAAGAAGGCCTTACTGGAAAAGGAAATAGACAAAAAGAAGAAGAACACCTCCGAAGCAAACAAAGAAGCTGCTGGTGTTCTCAGAACAATGGACTGACCACCATCAGTCCAGACCTCAACATCACGGAATGTGTTTGGGTTACTCGGTTTGTGAGAAGCAGAAAATGAAGCCAACTTCTTCTCTTTTTCAGGCGTGGAAAAATATCCCTGCAGATTTCTTTGAAACACTGAAAGCAAGAATGAGGTTTTAGCAGTTTAGTTTTTTGTATTTTGAAAGATTTTGTGTCCAGATCATATCCGTAAATACTTTGGCCAGATTCCAGTTTTCGCTGGAAACCTTTGTCCCCAGTGTGACAAGATGAGATTTCGCCAGTTATGACATGAGTCCACAAGCTCGGACATTTTCATCGGCCTGGAGTGCAAGAAGCCTCTTGGTTTAGAACTTCAGCCTCGCACATCCCCCAACTTTTATTTTCTTGTTTATCCCATTCCATTTACACTTGTGTTAAATGGAGTCAAGATCCATCTACGACTTTGCGATTTGAATGATCTAATTGTAATCATCTCATAATGCGTCCTCAGGGGTGTTTACACCTGGGTTTTCATGCAGTCAAGTGAAATCTGAACATGATCCGATCACTGAAAACGCATGTTGATGCAAGGACCCCAAGACATTTTAAACTCAAAATATCAAAAATTGAATTGAATATTGGCCTCAGAGGAAGTATATGTCTGTCTGTCTGTCTGTCTGTCTGTCTGTCTGTCTGTCTGCCCTGTGATGGACTGGCAACCTCTCCAGGGTGTGTCCCGCTTCTTGCCCGATGACCTCTGGGGTAGGCTTCAGCTTCCCCCCACAACCCAGAAGGATAAGCGGTTGCGAAAATGTGTGTGTGTGTGTGTGGGTGTGTGGGTGTGTGGGTGTGTGTGGATGTGAATCAAACATTGAATGGAATGCACATATGTGTATCACTACACCCCTAATTACAAGAAGTTTAGTTACAAAACACTCTTTTAACTGGTCCAGATCACCATCATTACAAGTACCTACTGTAAAAATAGGACTGCTTGAAACACGATCATGAAAAGGGTCCAACACCCTGTCACTCAACTGTGCTGATGCCTTATTCTTATCTGTTTAAAAACGCCAAGAAACAGCTACCAAAGAGATTAACTTTTACAATCACTGACTGAGGGGTGAAGTGCACGCACAGCAGCTGAGGACTGATTACTTCACTTCCTCATAAAGCTCTAAGACATTCAAATTGGAAAAGGCTATAACAACTGATCTAAATTCCTCTGCAGGAACTTAGCAGCAGATTGAACAGAAAAGATTGATTGTGCACAGCGTGAGATTAAAATTCAGCCAAGAATAAGCAACATTCAGAAATCCAAGCTATGGTAATAATTTAAAGCCCACACTGATTATAACTATGTACGTCAGAATTCTTGTTATTAAGATCCATAATTTTATGTCCGCTTGTGTTTCATTATGATATGCCAACCTACAAATCATGCTAGCCTATAGCAAAGAATACAAGCATTATATGTATAAGAGATTTGTATTAGTATATAGTTTCCACTTTGCAAGACAGTGAGCTTTTTTTTTTTTGCTGAAATCTAAAGCAACAGGACAGAACATGCATTAGGGAAGGCTCTTACCACTGCTGTATTGCCTTAGGGCTTACAACTGCTGAACACTTGTGCATCCATCTCACTTATTCCCATGAGAGCCCATAGAAGACACTAGAAATCTGGAAATTTATGTTTTTCCACCGTGTCTGAAGCTCTTCGTGGGCTCTTCTCTTCTCTTCTAACAGCGAATGTGTAGAGAAAACCAGCTTAAACCCAGAGTTTGCATGTCATCAACTACAAAATGACTCCTCCTCAGAGGTCTCCACGCCTTGTTGTGGTCTGTATAAATACAGATCATTTTAAGTTTTTGCTTTTGAAAACAAGTCCACATTGAATTCATAAGTGCAGCATGCATAAGGCAGGTCTCTAAAGATGCTAGCCGTTCCATATTTCTTTAGACTTAGTAATTAGAAAAGCCGTTTTGAAAATCTTTAACACATTTTCCACTCACTGTATCCACAGCCACATATTTGGTGGAAACTACAATTTCTTGAAACTGTAAAAATCTCCCACACCGCGGAAATTTTCACTTAAGGGTGCAGAGTGTAAGATTTAGGGGGATCTATTAGCAGAAATGGAATATCATATACAAAACCTGTAATTATGAATCGTTGTGTTTTTAATAGATTAGAATGAGCCCTTCATATCTACATAGTGAGCAGCTCCTCTTTCAACAGAGTGTATATAAACTGGAGTCATCCCACTGTTTCCAGTGGGGACCAGCTGAGGTCAGTCGTCTCACTTCCTGATCAGCTTCTCATGCAGTGGATGACGGGAAAGTGTGAGACTGCGTGGGTGCCTTAATGACGCACATCTCCTGTGTGCAGTTCAAATTACCATAATGTTAGTAGGAGCTGCCCAGCTAACATTTGTGAATGTTTTAAAGGAGCATAAATCATCACAACCTTTCAGCTCGACGGTACACTTTCACCAGACGAGTTTTAGTTACTACTTCCTAACAAAGCTCATTTTAAAATAAAATAAATGAATAAATGAATAAACAATAATAATAATAATAATAATATAATAATAATGATAAAGATGCAAGATCTTGAATTATTATACAATCAAAATAAAGCACAAATCAAATTTAATTCATATCGCTGAATAAATAAATACATCATAAATGAAAAACAAATAAGAAAAAGTACGTAAAAACAACAAATTCCTGAAAAAACAAGTTATAAAATTATCATTACCCACCAAACAACTTCAAACATTCAAATTTTAATTAAATGAACATCATTAAGAATTACCATTTACCATGTCTCTTATTATTATTATTATTATTATTATTATTATTATTATTAGTGTTATTATATAGTGAACTGGCTCTGTGGTTTAGATTATTGAGGAGTTTGTACCTCAGACATTACAGTGCAGTGTTTCGAGTCACAGCTTTATCACATCATTCTCTGTACTGTCACAGAAAAACGTTTATTTTGAAGCAATAAAGTGATGGTCGAGTCTGTGGATCAAATCACAGACAGTCCAGTCTCTGTGGAGGAGGACAAGGCCATAAGGTGATATAAAACAGCTCAGGTGCACCTTTATTGGTAGACTGAAGCCAGAAATGAATGGAAGTGAATGGAGAGCTTCTCTCAAATGGTCCTTTCGTAGCAGCTTACTTCCAGTGCCACAGCTGGAAGGCACAAGCTGGAGGCCTGGTGCTGGCTATTCATTTTGTGCTGTGAGAAGTTTGAGAACTCAAATTTTGACGAATAGAGGACCGGATTTATTATTTAGCACAAGAAAAAGCCAAAAAGGGGGGAAACCTCATCAAAGAAGCAAAAACATGAAAACAAAAAGAAATCGGGACAGGCGATGGCAGAAAACCTGGCAGCCTCCGTAGGTTCTACTACAAGCTTGGAAAGGAAGGGGTGTGGGAGGGGTATCCAGTTGGTTTCAGTCTGCAACCTCACCACTAGAGGCCACTAAATCTTACACACTGCACCTTTAATGCATACTTGTTATCGGTGCCAGGTTATCGGAAGTTATTCAGCTCTAATTCCAGTATACAACTGATAATAATTAACCATTTTGTGACTGGACCCCAGACTCAAGACCTATGAGACCTATGTAAATTTTCATTTTGAGAAAAAATGAGCAAAGCTGATTTAAATTAGGAAGTAAAACCTTAAAGTAAAATAATAAAACTTTCTCTTTTCCACTGTATGTGAATTTGCATGCGAGTTTTGCTCACAGTGGCATCAGGTTGCAAAAGGCTTCAAATAACTTGAGACTTTTATTATAGAAAAGCCTTCAGTCTGAAGGGCAGGACTGAAGCTGTACATGCAGTAAATGCAGTGTTTAAAGGAAAGAGGTTAAACAACTTGGAATGGTTGGCTAGCATGCAGTTTGAATAGCAAGAATGTTAGTTAGCGCAATAGCTAATTTAGCTGAAAGTGTTGGCTAACTGACCTGAAGATTTAGGAAGTTACAGATCACCTTTGAAACTTACTAAAACTTTAGCTAGCTAACTTTAGTTACACTGCTTCTGCTTCAACAACAACAGTGACAATGATGGCTGAGTAGAGCTTGTACAGCTCACCCCAAATGCTCAAGCTCAAACCAAAGGCAGTCTCAATTTAAAGGAAAAATGAGTTTGTGCAATTAGGCGAGACAAAAGAATAAACTTTGTTATATGGAGGGGAAGAACCTTTGTGTCAGCATTTCACCTCTGCTGACTAATGTTACCCTGAAGGTAGTTTGTGCTTTAGAGTTGGTGCTGCAGCCACTTTCAGTGGAACAGTTTTCACATTCCACTTTAAAAGCCATTGGCATTTGAGATCGCAAGGTTTATTATGCCTATTATTGTTAGAAAGCTGTTTCAACGTGTCCAGCTCACATGCCTAATTTAGCCTTTTGGTTACAGTTATCTTTACCTGTTCATCGTGTCCATGTTTAGCACTCTGTAGACGTTAGCTGATGTTATCATACTCGACAGATGTGAAGAAAATTCTCCACTAAGAATTTATGTCCTTTATTCAGCTTAGACTCCCATCTTGGCAACTACGACAAAGACAAAGTGACATGGTCAGTTGAAGTGATATGAACGCCAGCATTTCCAAGGTTAACAATGGTCTGCAAAACAGTAGTAGAATTTGTTTTACCTGCCATTTATATACTTATGTACTCTTGTGAGGACCTATTAGCTTTAGCTAGTATACGTGCTATACAAACCACAGGCTAGCCAAGCTGTTTTGCTTCTTTCCTCTAAACACCATATTTACGGTGAATAGCGCTTCAGTTCTGTCCTTCAGACTGAAGGTTTTCTATGATAAAAGGTTTGTTTTTTTGAAGCTGTGTTGAACGTGATTGGTCTTTAGAAGGGTTTACTTTTGTACAATGCAAGGCCTGAAGCTAATAATAAGACTAAACTAAAATTCTGTACTAAAGACTCAACTCAGACTAGCACAAATCGACTTGGAAAGGTTTTTCCCATCAATAAATACCCCCATATTGTACAACCTTTTAAAACAAATGTGAAATTTTAGTAACATAGACCTGTAGTTTTTAGGCCTAATCCTGGTGATTGCATACGGTGCCCATTTTTGTACTTTCCCTACTCTAAAACACCTGATTCAGTTCATCAAGTCATTAATCAGCCCTCCAACAACTGAATCAAGTGTGTCAAGGCAGAAAAAAAACAAAAACAATATGTACTACAAGAGAAGCACTTTGAGCAACGCTTCATACAATTATTCTTTTTGGAGCTTTTCTGTGTATTTATTATGAGAAACATCATCTCATTAGAGCACATTCTGGTGCCGTCCTGCTGTGTATGGGCTTAATTTGGTCCAATAAGAGCAAAAAAGGCACAAATATTTCTATCTGACCCAGAAAAAAACTCTTATGCAGGCTACGCACATCTCTGAGCCACTTCACACAGCTTTTTTATGCACTTGCTCGTGAGCAGCCGTGTTTGTGAGGGTGGCAGCGGCGGCAGCAGTACGTGAGCATGCCAGGAGCATGTAAATGGAGTAAGGAAGTACTTTAACACGGTGCAGAAATCGTGCCCACAGTGATGGGATTACTCTACACAGCAAAGTAAAAGCACAGAGAGAGATCAAGAGTGGATTGGCTGAACATGTTACAGCGAAGCTCATTTGGAAGCACAGCTATGAGAAATTGCTCTAGGAAAATCATGTCGCTGCTAAATGCTCACAGCCCCCATCTACACCCTCGTGCTTGCACATGCATATAAACTCATAAACAAACAAACAAATCGTTATTTTGTTCTAGACTTTGTATAAGATATTCATACACCACACAGGTGGCTGGGACTACACATGAAGCGCAGCTTCTCCTTAAACTTTATCATAAAACATCACTGAAATAGTTATTAATCTGACTGTATTAGCTGTCACTCATGCTAATATTCAGTACATTCAGCAATTAAAAAAGTGTGAAATATCTAGTCTATATCACGACACTCTGCCGTGGTTTGTTTAATTAAAGTGAGCTGCGTCTGATAGACAGTGTAGTGCTCATCAACTCAAACTAAAAATAGTCTGTATGCTCAGTTCTGGGCAGTCATTGGAAAAACAACCATTAGCATTGCTGCTTATAATTATATAAAATTATATAAAATATAATTTGGGGTTATTTTGTGATCTTTCTGGCACCTCATAAGTATAGAATTCTGATGATTTTCGTTTATTACCTAAGTTAACTGATGACAGTAAGGCGTTTAACAGCTTTTGTGGGTGTAAGTTAGCAGCTCTAGCTTCTTTTTGTAGCAGCAGTGCCAACACTGCTAATACTGCCAACATTACTTCAGAGGAATAGCTAGAAAATAGATGTACTACTTTGGAACGTTTTCAACAAAACAAAATCCATTCGGTTGCAAATATGTGTATGAAATGATTCTAATATGCTGTGCTGGGTATCTTCATAAGTTTCATATGAATAGTAAGAAACTAAGACAAAAAGAAATGTCCAGAATGTTGCTAAATAGATTATTACAATAAATTGTTTTAATATTTTGTAATTTCTTATTGTTCCCAACATTTAAAAATTCATTTTGGTGTCAAGTTTACAATATTCAAATCCACAAGTATTAAATAATTTTTTTGAAAAAAATCTATGTGTATGTACGTATATATATATATATATATATATATATATATATATATATATATATATATATATATAGATGAGATATATATATTATATCTCAGTATGTTAGTAAACACTAGTATTTTTGTCAACACCTCGGTGTTTCAGCATTTAAACAATAGATTTTTTCATTTCAGCATAAAACTCTAAAATGCCTTTTTAACTCTCAGTAGCTCTCATATCCCATAATGCTGTGCGATACAACTCAGTGTCAGTCTCACAGTAATTTGCCATGTTATTACATAAGATATCTTACGATGAGCTGATTTTACAGTAAAGTGATGAATACAGAATACTGTGAAGATTAGTGTTAAATATTATGAAGTCCTGACAATAATGATAAATAAAACTGACAGTGTGACACATCTTTAAATTACATACATAGTGCAGCTTTAATTGTTTTAATCGCCACCTGTGCATTTCCACGTCAGAAAGCATCAGCTGCCACTGATACACCATATTCTGAGTTGCATGAAAGTTGCCTAAAGGCCTTTCTGTTCTACACCCACTCACCCTTAACTAGCCAGTCCACTACAGCCAGGGAAAATATGCAATGAGATGTGAGGTGCATAATTTTTCACTAATATCTGAAAGGACTCAGTCACAGAAGTTACACTGTTGGAAGAATGAAAGCACTCTTTCTTGTCTTTAATGAATAGACTTTGCACTGTCTAATAATAGAGGACTCTGAGGTGGAAACTATGGAATCAATGTATGGATGGATTGTCTTCAGAAATGCACATTCATTAAGGGATATTTCATAATTGTGTATTGTTCATCGACATGAAACAGGAGAGCTAATCCATTCATATGAATGACAGTGTGGGATAAGTACAGTGGATACAGAGGAACTGCTTCTGTAGCTTAAAGAAATGGTGCCATTATATTACATTTCATGCGGGATGCAAATGAAAGAAATGTGGTGTTGAAATTCTAATTTAGCTCTTGAAAGATGGAAATATAGAATGGATTAGGATGTGAGCTGGAGTGGTGGGCAGTCTGTCACACTCAAATCAGTCACTACTTCAAGACATTTTATATGAGAATTGTGCGTAATTACACACTATACATCCGAAGGTTTCTTCTGAAATCAAGGGTATTAACAATGACTTTGTCCCCTTTGCTGCAGTAAGAGCCTTTACTCTTCTGAGAAGGTGTTACACTAGATGTTGGAACATTTGCTGTGAGGATTTGATTGTATTCAGCCACAAGAGCGTTGGTGAGGTCAAGTACTGATCACTCCAACTCATCCCAAAGGTACTGGATGGAGGTCTATCACTCCAGAGAACGCACTTCCACTGATCCACAGCACAGTGCTGCTAGCTTTATACCCCTCTAGCTGATGTTTGGCATTAGACATGGTGACCATTGGCTTATGTGTGGCTGCTCCAGTGTGTCCTGTTCTATTGGTCAGTGCTTTTCTATGGAGATACAAGCTGTGTGTGTGTGCAATGTAGTGTCAGCAATGGGTGCACTTTAAAATTCCCAGTCAAAACAGCCATTAAGTACAAGTTATTCACTTTTTTTCAGGAGAAATTTCTGAGGAGGATTAGATCTAAGATAATCCACTTAGTGAAAGTCCATCCTTCCATTGTGAGAAGCCAACACAGCGCTATGGGTCTGAAAGGATGTGTAGCAGCCAAAAAGCCCTCACTGAGAAAAGGAATTAGACAAAAAAGAAGAAAGCTTGCAAATCAAGCAAAAAAGATGCTGGTATTCTCAGAAAAAAAGGACTGACCACCCCAGAGTCCAGACCACAACATCACTGAATGTGTTTGGGATTACTTGGATGGTGAGAAGCAGAAAATGCAACCAACTTCTTAGACTGAACTTTGGAGGTGTGGGAAAAAATGAATAACATCCTCAATGACCATTTTGACTGGAAATGAATTACATAAGTGGTGGTTCTCTGACTTTTGCACAGTCCTATATATAATTACTGGGTTAATATCTGTGTACCAAAATTTTCCAAACCAATAAATGAACTGCTTTTCCAAATGGAGAGAAGATACAAACACAGACCAGTGTTAAACCATGATAAGCAACGTCTTCATGTATGAGATACAAAAGCATTCCATGGTAAAACAAGCCTGGATTGTCTCTCGACACACTGCTCAGAGCAGGAGAATTGACAAGCAGTTGTGAAATATAAATTAAGCATGTCAGGGGTCCGGCGTAAACCTTGCACACATCCGTTTGGAAATATCGAAGCAACCAAAAAACCTTCACGGACGTGTAGTTTTCATGCTGACAAAAGGCAGCACGCTGCTGAGAGGGATTCTCTCTCAATTATTCATGTTCCAATTTCGTGTTCTGTAAAAGTGGAGGAAACAATCCTAGATCTCGTTCTCATTTACTGTGGGCAAGGGAGGAGGGTTTGCACGCTTCCCTGTGGATGACTGCATCACAAAAGCGAGCAACCAATCAGTGAGCCCATGCTGGGCAGGGCCGGTGAGGAAAGCTCTTTGGCAGCGCGTAATGACCTCTGGGAAGTGATCAGTCCTGTGAAGGGACTGTGGGCAGATGTCCTCCTGTTTCTACAGGGCACTTTGGCCATGGAATTTCTGTTTTCTAGATCCAGTGTTTTGTTTCAGTCACAAGGCAGAGACACTGACAGACTGGCACCAGGATGATAAAGCACATTTATTCAGGACACGGAAGCTATAATATGAAAAATAAAGCATAAAGTGTGCAACACATGAACGACGGATGTTTTGGTATAGATGAAAAACAATAAAATGGATAGTTCCGTTTTTGTTTTTTTTTTAATGTGACTGCCTCAACTGAATTAGTTATAATGTTGTTGTTATTATTACATAAATCAATGCTGTCCAAAGAAAACCATCAAATGTATCTCCATTTTTGTTGATTTTCTCATTTCAGCACACCAG